ATATACGATCAATCCACCGATGCACTTCCTCAATATATACGTGATTGTTGTTGCTGCTCAGCACGTTTGTTGCTCTACTTTTACCTACTTTAGATGAGTAATCCAAAACAAAAGTTTTTTTGTTAAAATAGCATGATTTATATTGTGCGAAACCTGCGGGATGATGTTTGACCTGGGAATGAGAACAGGCTGCTTATTGGCTGGGGGTTACAGCCCCACGTGTTGTCCAAATGCTCTTTGCTGACCAATACTAAATACAAAAATTGCAGATGGAACATGGGCTGCGTGCGTGCGGTGCGTGCGGTGCGTGCGGTGCGTGCGGTGCGTGCGGTGCGTGCGTGCGTTGAATGATTTGGATTTGAATTAGAGCGTGACTTAGTTCTCGGTAAAAAAAGGTAACCTGTTGTGGCGGGATATCATATTCCCCCCCTGTTTATGACGTCTACAAAATGTTGCTGAAGTCACGATAAGTTAGCTGAACTTTACTTTTTCTTCGGTAAAACATTTAGCTGTGAAAACAGGATTGATGTTGACTGTTTTCAACAGAGGAAGTGGCAGCATTAGACAAGCTTTTGTTTCCTGTCCACTTGGTGGTGTATAAAAAACGAAAAACAATAGGCTTTTCAACCAGACTTGCTTAGTGAATTTGTTTGTGTCCACATGTGTATATTTCTTTTACTGGGAGGTTGACCTTTTCAAGGTATAACTCACCGAAGCTATCAACCCTGTTTGGGTAGCCTAGTATTTAAAGGGCAAGGCTTTTTTCCGAAGAACAGCTCCTTAAATCGATTTAATTTAGATCACCAAAATTAAAAACTCTCATGTTCCAGCTAGTGGTAGCTAACGTGTGACTTTTTGTTAGATTTTGGGCTTCAGCTGAATGTAAAGTAACACTTTGACAAACCGCTCTGATCACAGCTGAGATGCTACGTACAGTAAAATTGTGGAAATGCATCGCTTCCAATTTGCTTTAACAAAATGACCACTAACTACTGACAAACACTCTAAAAAAAAAAAAAACATGTTTGTACCATTGTAGCCACAAGAAGTCTGTCACCCTTAAGGTGTCACACCAGCACCTGTCGGTCACCATATTTGCTGCGTCTCCCATTCATGTCAGTTGAAGCCCATGTGACCGACAATAATTCCCCCCCCCACACACACACACACCTTGTATTTTAACTACCCACATTGGAATGATGAGGACGAACCAAAACAATACAGCTGTAGGCAGCGAAACCCAAAAACAATGAGCCGAAAGAGTCTCTACAGAGCTGAGGGGAACTGCAGTGTTGGTGATAATTCTCTGTGAGTTCATCACCTTTGATATTAGGCTACATGTTGGCCTTTGATCCATTGTTCAAATGGAAATATGGACTGCTGCCGTTTGAAGTCGGAGCACAACTGAAATGCCAGTAACCGATCAGCAGCCGCTCACGCCAGCTCTTTCTGAGTTTACACTGTCATAGTCAAAACATATATATTTTACAAACAATATCAACCCTTCACATGGAAGCAAAATCAGATATTTATTAGCATATAAACTGTCAGTCATTAGTTGTTGTGAGTTTCAACTACAGGTTTGTCATTCGATATATCATAAGGTCATATATGGTATTGACATGTCATTGTCTAACTGACATACATTATTTTGGTGTGTTAAAGCATTATATCTGACACAAAGGTTGACGGTAACGATGTTTCTGGAACAGAGTCACTGTTCGTGAGACCTTGATAAGTTCATGGACCTCATCTTGGACCAAATGTTCCAGGAAACTGTCCCGTGTGGATTTGGTTTCGGAGATCTCCGAGCAAAATTGTGCCCAGTTTGACAGGCCAGCGAAGGAGAATCAGAGCTCAGAGGTCCACTTACCGGCTGTCAGAACTCTTCCAGTCTCCTCAGACCAAAACCAGCCACAGTCATGGACCAGGAGTCTGTAGACAGCTGGTGAAAGATCGAGGACCACATTAACACCCAAAGCCCATCAGTGATGACCCCCCCATCTACAACCACCTCCTGACATGTGAACAAAGTCCATTGGCTATATGAAGACTGTGGGATGGGTTGAAGGCTAGTAAGGGAGTCTTTGAGTTTAGATTATTTTGTTACAGCTCCAAAGGGTGAAGAACAGACTTCCATGCTCAAGGACAATGTTGTTGCTGGGGAACTGTGTTCATGATGCTTGGATGATAATAAATGTTACATAAACTCTTACTATAGATTCTGTTTGTGACTTGTTTGTTGTCCATCAGCATAGGAAACGGGTTTAGTTTGTTTTTATGAATCCACCAACGACGTCTATCATGTAATTACTCGGGATGCACTGATCCAAACCGGCGTTCAGCTGGTCGCCCATGACAGGGGACCCGCTGGTCAGTTTCATATGTTTCATGAGCCCGTTACATATACACAGGTGTGCTGCGTGGTAGTTTTACGTTGGCACAATGCAGCAAAGACGGTAATGTTGCAGACACACACACACACTCACACACTGTGTTGTTCACGTCGATCAGCATGAGTGAAGTATGCTCGCAATTTGTCTCCTTGGCACAGTCACACTTATGACGTAGCTAACGTGACGTGTATCTCATAAAATGTAGTTTTTGGTGAGAAACTTGAATAAGTACAGTTGTTTGAAGGACACTTTTTCACAGCAATATTTAAAAAAAAACTGACGGCTCAGATTTTTTAAAATTGGAAAATCGGAATCGGTGCATCTCGAGTAATTACACATTGTGTGATGCTGCATTGGAGGTATGTAGTATCTATTCCCTCTGCTACACTTTTGAATTTGTTGTCATTTTATCTTATTCCGTATTACTCGAGCATGTATGGTATATGTTAAAGATAGACGAATAAACATCGGAAAAGGACAAAGTGCAGCGGACCTTGAGAGGATCAAAGCCCAAGGCATCTCAGAGAATAAAAACCTGTTACACATAATTATGCCTGTTTAAAGCCACGCCCTTCACTGGATCAGGTTTACTACCATGTACGGGTACCATATTGTGTTATATCTACGATTGATGGGTAAAACTGCAGAAATATAACTGGGGATATAACAAAATCTGAATTTTATCAAAATCACAATATAGCCTAGTGCAATATCCAAATCGCAGGAGGTGCAATATGTGGTATTGTGGTGCCGCAGAAATGTCCCATTATACAAATCATATTCTACAAACAACTTTGCTTGGTACAGATACTCGCAAAAAAAACACCATGATCATTTGAATACATTTTAAATGAAAATGACAATGCTGATGTAAAAATGATCATTCCCATTAATTACATAGCAATGGCATTATCAGCTGTAGTATTCAAGGTAATATAAGGGCTGGGGGCCCATTTACAAGTCTTAGTTAAATGTAACCTTAAAACATATCAATGGCTTGCTTACATTCGAGGTTCATAGAGTGAAGAATGTAGTTTTGCCTTAGTTGTTCATCTTTCATAACAAAGCTTTAATGTCTCTCAAAAACGTCCATAATAACAGTAAAAAGCAGATAGTTATAGGCAAGTATTCACATCTTTATTTAAGAAAATTAGCAAAAACACAGTGTCACAATGCTTTTATACTGTACTAAGTAAAAGTCTTGCATTCATAATTGTACTGAAGTAAAAGTATGTAGGTATTATCAGAATGTGAACACTTGTTTTACTTCTTTGTGTTTTTAATGTTTTATTACATCATGTAAAGCACTTTTAACTGCCTTTGTGTATGAAATGTGCTATACAATTAAACTTGCCTTAAAAGCAAAGGCATTGGCCCTTGCTAATGTCTTACAATGTTATATATTTTATTATTGAATTAATTGTTTTAGCTGAGGCATTAACATATTTGCAGCATGATATTATTGTACTATAACAGTATTTTATATACTCTTGGGTAGTTTGATTTACTGTAGAACAGTGCGACATATTTGATATTCTTGGGAAAGGGCTAAGTGGATAGCAGGGCCGTCTTTCAATCAGAGGGACGGTGGTTCAATCCCCGGCTCCGGCTCTGCTAGTTGCATGTCGATGTGTCCTTGAGCAAGACACTTAACCCCAAAATTGCTCCCGTGTAGAAATGTGATAGAACCTGAATTGTAAGTCGCTTTGGATAAAAGCGTCTGCTAAATGACTGTAATGGAAGAACTAATTCTTATGATGTGAAAAGGGTGTCGGTTTCGTGAAGTTCGTGAAATTGCTACAGGTATGCTACAGTAAACGGTACTTGAGTAAATTAACTTAGTTACATTCTACCACTGGGTAGTGGCAGGCGTTTGGAAAAGCCGTTCATCTGGACTAAGGATCGGGCATGTACCAAGTCTGATGTGAGTTTGTCAAACGCCCTTTTTCTCCCAGTATGGAGTGACCAGTTTCCTTCTGCACCGCGGCTGCAAGCAGACAGCTGCACGTCGGCTTTGATCCATTCAGAGTCAGCAGCCACTTATTCTCACTGATCACTGAGGATGTTCAACAGGAGGGTGTGTGTGTGTGTGTGTGTTCGCATCGCGGTGAGAGTAGCTGGGGAGGAAACACTGTGTAACCATATACTGTACACACACACACTGTGTGTATGGTGTGATACTGGGATGTCAGCGAGCTCAGCCCAGACCAAAGGAATGAGAGAGGCAGTTGTCATTTATGCTTCTAGTTTTCTCTGCCATCCAGAAGAAGTGATATTTGAATTTATAAGTAAATGCACTGATTTCACTTTAACAGGCCAATACCAATACAAATGGAATATTCAACACTCAAATGAACATGACAACATGAGAATCCATTGCTGGGCTCGTGAGAGTCGTCGGGTCCTGATAAGAGATCATTAAAACAGAAATCCAGAATGGTTTTCTTATCTGAAACAATCATCAGACACAAACGGTTCATGAACAGGGACTTTGAAGGAATTGAACCACCACATGGCAGTACTGTCACCATTCAATGTGGAACATGATGACTTCTTATAGCTGACTGATGCTAACTAACTGTATTCATTTACCACATACTTAAAGTCCTTTTGTATTAGAATATTTAAACTATATTTTTATATTTTATTTACATTATTAGATTTACTCTTTTAGTGTGGAGGCAGCATAATTCTAAACTTATTTTCTTATTATTGTTTCAGTAAATCATATCATTGTTTGAAGAAAGTAACGGTAAAATAGGTTGCTGGTTTTCTCTACAGGCTAGCTTCGTGTACATTAACGGCATTTGTGCGTGTGGAACAATGGCAGCACCGTTCCCACAGGCTTTCTCGCCGTCTTTTTTATTTTATTCCGCTTTGCCTGTGTCATTCCCGCTTCGTTTTGTTTTTTGTCTCTCTGGCACCGCCAAGTGAGAAGGGTATCTCCGAGTGTGAAGCGCTCCCTCCTCCACTCCTTGCTGAAATCACCCTGCAGTAGCAGCATGGCAATTCTGCTCCTCTATCTTTCCTCTGCATCATGTTTACCTAGCAACAAGCATCACCCGCGGCTGGCCATCCCATTGGTCATTTGAAAACGCACCGGGGACCAATGGCAGGGCTGTTGCCATGGTACAGCGTGTAGTTGCCGGGTGGAATTTTGCTGCAAGGCACGTGAGTCTTGAGTCTGCTTGCCTCCTCGCGCTGCCGTTGTAATCTCCGCTGTCTGGTCGTTAGTACAGCTGAACGTGATTTGGTGGAAGCTTGTCAGTAATTCTGTGAAGGGAAATACTAATCAGTGATATAGTGATATAGGCATTGCAACGCGTTTCAGAAGTAGCAACAGACAGAAGAAAAAGACAGGAAACGGCTGCATCTAATTCCACTGTTGAGAAGCTGCTTTTCCTTTTTTCTGCCAGTGCAATATGCTGTATCACTACCCAACAATGTACTGAAGCAGGATTTGAGGTTATGAGGTTTAACGCTATCAGAACGATGTTTGATATTTTAAATCAAACAAAGTAAATCATCAATAACAGTGCATGAAGAAATAACCTCAGAATGAGGTTAAACTGCTGAAAGAAAAGGTGAAGACAAAAAAATGTTGCAGCACAAAAAGCTTTTTAAACACAGGGTGCTTATTCTTTATATGCATTTATTTATTACTGCAATAGTATATGTAAATATATATAAATAAATAAATAAAAGCATCATTACATCTTTTTGAATGTGCATTCCAGTAATGTATGTTAAATCATTTCTGTTGTGGAGTCTAACAATGAAACAAGATTTTTTTATACAGGGCATTGGGTCAACAAGTATCTTACCTTATAAATACATCTGATAGGTGCCAACATATTAGTTCAATGATTTAGATACTGCATATAAATGTTGCTTTATTCTTTCCACCATGAGGATTGTACTTTCAGTTCTATTTCTTTGTCTGTTTGAAAAAAAAAAGTTATTTTCATAATTTGTGTTGAAGGGCCTGTGCTTGGTAACAGTAATTTTAGTGTACGAACTCCCTTATAATTAACAGAGAAACTACTGAACAATTATGGAGGTCAGCCGTTGTGTGTGTTTGTACTATACAAATGTCCTGTCATCCCCAGCACACACACACACACTCGTTTACCTGTTGCTCGTCTGTCTGTAATTGTGGAGCTGGTATAATTGTGGGCTTTGCATGGCATGATAGGGGTAGAAATGCGGCACACTCCAATGCTTCTCCTCAGTGCAAACAAACATATGCACACAGCAGGCCGCCGAAAAGCTGCCTGACAGTAGAGTTAAGCTCCGTCTTTTTGTCTTCATACATACCTGTCTGCCCGGCCACCTTGTTGGCCGTGTATCATGTCTGCCCAGGCAGAGCACAGGTGAAATGGCCTGTTTGTGGCCTAAAACAATGTGTCAAATCGTCACTGAAAACCTCAAAACACATTTTCCTGCATCTGATCAGGAGTGGCCTTTTATGGGTTTTGTATGTGTCCTTTGAGCTACATATTTTACAGTTTGTACAGTTTACATTGTATTCCCAATGTACAATCCCTGCGATGTGTTGATGCCTATCATTCTCTTTCTGTTCTCTAATTTTCACACATTGTACATATATGTATAATGTAACATTATATTTGGGCCTGAATCAACTTAATAGTCAGAGTTGTCTAAAGAATCTGCACACTGTATGTAGAGTAGCAAAACAGCTTCACAAAATACAGAAAAGGACTATAATGTAGCATTTGAAATATTCTTTGTTTTTCATGCAAGGAAAGACATGACGAGTTAATTTGTTTATTTGTTTTGATGCAAGCAGAGATGTGATTGATTGTCTTTTATGAATACAATGGATGGGAGATGATTTTTGTGTAATGAAAGCTGTCAATCGCACGTCCTGGTTCAAACTTCTCATGTGGTTTTAGAGAAACCCTCCATCCCGTCTCATTGTTTGGTTTAGGGTAGAAACCTCTGTAATTTCATTGAATTTATAGCGCTCGACAACTTTATTATGGATTTTGCTTTTGGGATTTATGTATTATGTCTGCTCCTTCATCGCAGCGTGCAAAGTCCAACTTCTAGAGGTAGACGGACAGACCTTCAGATCCAATGTCCATACTGGCATTTGCACTCAGTGCTGTCCTTTCAACTCAAGTTTAATACCATTTGGACGATATCGGAGACTCCTGGGTGCCAATCGCACAGAAAGAGTCCCTAAAAACAAAGCACCATCCGCTGTCTTCCCAAGTGTGGCAACGTGCTTTACGTTATCCCGGCTCCCAACTAAGACAGATCCAGTCACTCTGAGCTGGGTATTAGGCCTTTTTTAAAGCAGACCACCTGTAGTGATGCATCTGCATGTGATTAACATCGTTAGTGTACATTGCCACCGTGCTGTATTGCTGTATAATCTCACTTCCTGCTTGTTTATGGCTTATCTCTTAATGCAAGGCCTATAATTATAGCATGTTATTAGGCCATGCTATCTTATTTTAGAGGTGACTGGTCAGCTGTTTTTCAGTGCGTGGGAGTGCAGTGATTTGAACCATGGGTTCTGGAGCTTGAGTAGATTACCATGGAAAGCTGCAGGACCTGGAGTCTATAAGGGACATTGCAAAGCCAGAATGCAGTAAAAACTTTGAGGTTTGCCTATTGGAATTCAGCTCAATTTTGCAAGTGATACTTGACAATAAATTAAAAGATTCCTAAATTAGTTATTACAACATCTCTAAACAAATTGTTATTTTACATGATCATTATGGGGCTTTATGTGCAGTATTAGCGTAATATACTGTTATTGAACGTACTGCTGTTTCAGTCTGATGTGCATAAGTAGAGGATTATCAGGGGAGACCTTACCTTTGTACAGTAATTACAGTAAGCAAGCTTCTGTGGACTTTTCACCATCACCTTTTTTTTTATTACATATTACTGAGTGATTAATCTGCACACGTTAAAGATATAAAAAAATCACATTAAAAATAACTCTGGTGACACACATTTCTCGGTGCAGTGTGAGTTGCATTCGAGGGTAAGTTTTCCTTTAAGGAGCCGTCAGCTGGTCTGTGACACGGCTCGTGTGCAGAGCTGTTCCCAGGCAGCATTGTGCCTGATTTAGCCGGAATGGCCGGATAGCAACAGTAACAACTTTTAGCTTTGGCTGGTTTGTGAGGAAGGAGAAGTCGCACATCTCAGCTGTAGAGAGTCACTCAGTGACCATGTGCTCATGGAAGCCTCTCGCCCCGCTCTCTCCCCCGCTCCCCCGGTTATATCTCCACCCACACCCCCTCGGTCTCCCTCCCTCTCTCTCTCTCTCTTTCCATTTCTACCTGACATCTTCAAACTATTTCCGCGTCATTCCTGCCTCGCGCCGTTTGAAGAGAGACTGGGAAACTAAGCCGTCCGCCCCGCCCACAGACCCGTCCGCTACCCAATCACGACCAAGGATGGGACTTTATGTAGCCAATTGGGTTGCAGCTGCCTCCGCGTCGGGTAGCAACAGAGCCCATAGCGGGTGCGTGCTGAGTGAGGGTAGAGGCTGCGTTTACCCGAGCACAGAGAAGTTCAAACATTTTGAAACACTGAATGAACCAAATGAGCCTTTTGTGTGTAACACGGTGGCAATAATATAACCTAGTTATCCACTTAGTATTATTGCAGGTCTGTCATATTTGCACGAGTCACATAAAAGGTTATAAAAACGGTCATCAACGTTGTCTACTGTTTTAGACTCTACTGTAAACTAGCTCTTTCTTCACCAAATATGTTTGCAGTTATAAGGGCAGCCTGTGTATTAAGATATGAATATGTTGTAGAGGGGGAAACGTGCACGTTTTAAAGGCGGTTTGTCAATATAGACCTCTGTCTCCTTGTCCCTTTCTCCTTCCCCCTCCCTCCAGCCCGGGTCTCCTTATAAACATTGCACAACTCGCTTGCTTATGAGCACACCACAAAATATTTCTGTCAGACCCTAAACTGTTTAATTCACGATTAAAGCTGTATTTTGCTGAACCTTTAGAAAGTATATTCAATGTATTTTAGAATGTTCTTCTGTCAAGTTTTGGTTAAACGTAATACCTATCCTTGGCCTGTAGGAAGTGGTTATAAGTATGTAGCAACTCGTTTTAGTCGGAGCTGTATCCATAAAACTGGATAACGGGTTTAACTAAAGGTTGTCTATGTATGCGTGAATATAAAGTTCCAGTATATATATCCTGCTGTTACTATAAATGGCCAGGACGGCAGAGGTCTGCTTGGAACAGACCACTGTGGTTAGAGGGGGGGGGGGGGTTACTGTCCCGCTAACTCACTTGGGTCGTTGATAGCGTACCGTAAATTAACTTGCCGTCCGAGTAATGGATAATGTGAAATACCCCGTGAAATGTCAGTAACGTCGTGTTTCCGTCACGTATGCGTATCTGTCCTGGTATCACCAAGACTACCGAAGGCTGCGCCAGACAGGCCCGCGTCGACCCCCGCCTCGGGCACATGGTACAGTCCCCATCGCAGGGTGGGGGAGCAGTGTGGGAGAGCAGCACAGATTCCGTCTAACGGAGGAGCACGGAAAGGGAAACGGGCGACAAACATGAGTCCAAATCGCCCTTGTGAAGGTTTCCACCTTGAAGGAATAAAACATCTCCCGAAATTGTAAGAAGGACGCGTAAAGGAGGACATTGAATGTGAGAAAGAAGAGAGAGCGGAAGCAGACGGAAGAAGAGGCGCGTCAAGAAGCGATCAAAGGCGTCTGACAGCAAGCTCAGGAACTTCACTGGATCTGCTTTCTTTACTTTGGAGACGTTTCTCAAGTTTTGGTTCGTTGCTGTTCAGACGCTATTTGTGTTTTTTTATTTTATTTCGGGGAGATTACCTCAGAGGCTCGACTTCTTCCTGGATCGAGCTATGCTTTGGTAAACAGAAGATACCGTCGGAGGTTGGGAGTACAATGCAGGCCGCCAGCGGCTGGTTCTGTGTGTTTCTTCAACGCGAGGAGACATTTGGCATCTAACCCCAAATACCGGATCTAAACTTTTGTTCCCCGACGTCTCCCCCAGCTTTGCCCCCAAAAGGGAAAGCGGTTTGCGGTTGAGGTGCAGTGTCCCTGCTCGTGAATGGTACGTCACTTTGTTCCTGCACACAGCCCCGTTGGCCCGTGAGTTGTGGATATCCAGTTAGCGGAACTTTCTCCGGAGCCGCACGTCTCCGTGAAATCAACACGTTGCAGCGGACTGGTTTGTTTACAGGCGTTTGTGCGAACTGCTTGTTGTCACAGAGACATCCCCGCGCAGTGTATGTGGGATTACGTTATTGTCTGGCTTTTCTAAAAAGGGCTCCTTTTCACCCTGGCAGAGGCCAGCCACCTTCTGCTGTAGGCGGGTGAAGAGGAGCTGAGGCTCCGCGGAGCTCTGGCTGTACAGGCCCTGTGACATTGCCAGTGGAGGGCCGCTCGTGCGTGCGTGCGTGTGCGTGTGTGTGTGTGTCACTGGGATTAATCCGAGTGATAGCATCACTCCCTACTGCCCTACTCTGTCCAGTGACGGGTCCACCCCAAGAAAGCGCCAGTAATTGGAGCTATTTTTAGCGTAAGGGATGGGGTAAAAGCAGGCAGCTGGAAACCCAACTCCCCTCCACCTCCTTCTCTTCCACCCCTTCTGTCACACCACCTCGCTCAGCCCACCTGGCAGCATGCTGGGCGAGCCTGGTTAGCACAGACTTGACTTGCAGATAGTTAATGTGTTTTTACAAGTAGTGTGTTAACAACAATTGGATGAACTTATTCCGCTGAGTAACATATGATCTGTTGGAACCATGCTGACCGTGGAGTCTTATTAACCTGGGAATACTAGCTGTACTGTGTTCTACTGGTGAAGGCTGCACTGGACACACACAACCCTATACTGGATTACTACTAAGATGCCTGAAGAACTATTAGCTGTGTACTTTTTGTTCAACCTGCCCTGGACTAAGTGAACCTGTCACAAGCAAGTAGAGTCCATTCTCAAACTCCTACTCAGAGTAACTACTCATTACCATACTGTAATAGAAGAAAGGCCTACTTTTTGACTCATTTCAAATATCAGTCACCATCGCTCTGGAGCGGTACAAACCTCCAGCACACAGAAAGAATGCATGAAACTGCCGAAACCAACGAAACAAAAAAGCTAACCTGACTAACCAAATATTCTATCTCCCCAGACTCCCCATACCCACAGAGAAACAGAATATATATGTAGAATGAGAGATCTATATCTATAGTGTAACTCCACAGAAGACAGAGATTACATCCTTTATATTTTTACTTCAGAGAGACAAGCTGCCTGTACACCAGTTGGTTGCCTTAGAAACCACAGTCACACAAAAAAAAGGAAAAGAAAGAAGCCAGAGAAGAAGGTGCCTTTTGATTGGTCGGTTGGTTTCCCACCATTTCAAGATTCATTGATTCAGTTGGATGTAAACTGTTGAAGCGAACTCTGGGATTGAAAAAAACGCGTCTCATGACAGACTAAAACTCCCTTCACAAGCCCCGCCCACCGTTCAAAGCGTTTTGATTGACAGTGTTTCCCTGCTGGATTGATCCCTTGCCGAGCATTTCCATGGTGATCACGTCATCCACCGTGGAGGACAAGCCCGTGCCCTCTCTCAGGATGGTCCAAACTGAACCCTGGATCTCCTCTGCCCTGCTGCGCAAGAACAAGAGTCAGTACACACACACACACACACACACAATCCCACAGATAAAATCTCTCTCCCTTGTACAGCCACAAGTGTGTGTGAGTCTACTGTCATGGTAATCTCTTTGTTGATACTTGTGTGTGTAGTTGTATGATGATAATGTAGTTTCTGTCAGTAATTTAAAGAGGTTCAATGTGTTTTAGTTGACGTTCCATGACGACGGTGGTGTGTGTGTGTGTGTCGGTGTGACATGTTGCCGTGGCGCTGCGCGTGTCCGCATGTGTCGCCGTTGAGTCGTAATGCTGAAGTTTGCGATGCATGTGTTTGACAGTTTGGCTGTCCGTCAACATTGTTTCAGCCCGAACTTGAACGATCAGAACCTGGCTGCTCTGGGTCTGAATAGGCTCTTCGTCCATGCCCGCAGTTGGAAGCACCACCCTCGTCAGACAGTTTGGCAGGTGTGGTCAGCCAGCCGGGGACACTGAGCTGAGGGACGGGATGCGAGGACGCTGTCTGCGCTGAGCATCAGTTTTTGACCATGACTAGATGGCGTTACCGCTGTTTGAATACTCCTGCTTTCATTTGCAATATTAGTTAATTTATGCCAGTGGTTTCCAACTGGTGGGTCATGGATCAACTTTGTCAAAAAAACAAAACAAAAAACAACAACTCTTCATCGAAGTGTAGTGAATTTCCAGAACTATTTAGTTAGTGGTCACACAAAATGCAACAATTAGTCTGTCAATGCTGGCTCCATGATGCTTGTAGCAGAGAGGGAAGAAGCTAGCTCGCTCCACAGCCTTACCAAACACAAGTTTACACGGAATATATTCAACTAGATGTTACTGGCATGGTATGAAAAGAGATACTGGCTTAACTTGTAAGTTTCCTTCCTTCAACATTTTCAGTTAAGCAGCTGTTTATCAACTTCCATGATATCAGGACTATTACATGTTATGATTAAAAACCTTGTAGAGTCCTGAATAAGCCTGAATTACTCCGAACTAGATTCAAAGCTATTTCATTGAGTTTTCAGCCTCACTTGCACTTTAATTTTTTTAAATTTTGTATTCAGTAAAATTCAGTGAATTTGTGAACTAAAAGTAAGATAAACATGAGAAATAGTTAGCTAAAAGTAATTGGTCAACAGTTAAAATAGTAAGCTAAATGTTAGCTAAACATAATGGGTAAATAGTTGAAACATAGCAGCAAAAGGTCAGCAAAAAGTACTGCACAAACAGCTGAGATAGTTAGCTAACTGTTATCTAAATGTAATGGACAAACAGTAGATATTGGTAGCTAAAAATTTGCTAAAAGTGATGGGTAAACAGATGAAATAGTTAGCTAACTGACCCAACAGATTGTTGCCATTGCAACAAAGATCTCACCTCATGCTTAGCCAAGGAGAGAGGTGGCTAACTTTCTTTCCTCAAATTAAGTCAGTCTTAATATTTACCCGACAGGATAATTAGACTAGTCTAACCTGACAATCTAAGACCATTCTAAGGCCAAGGCTAGTCTTAAGTTCATGAAACTGATGCCAAACAAGTGTCACCCCTAGGACTAGGTAATGTTTTGCATTTTGACATACCGTTGTCATATTTCTTGGGGATTTAAGTTGTTGTTGGAGTTATTGCGGCATTATTTATTTACATATAGAATAAGTGAAAAGACTTCAGTTGCTGACCTGATTGTCTGACTAGGGTTTGTTCTTTCACACTTTCATCAGTGACGAGTACAAATATGCATGTTTCTATTAATATGGTGACAGATGTTCATGTGACATGTGTTCTTGTGACTTTAGTTGTTTGTGTTTGTGAGAGAGAGTATGAGGACATGGCTCACTTGATGCATTGTTCCATTCTATTACACTGTACTGTGCCAAACACTAGTCTTTATTGTTGTGTAAAGGCATGATAGGCATAAACTATCATTGCTACTTGTTGAGAATGTAGCATTATCAGGGTCTATGGTTCTATGGTCCTTGGTACATCTGAAACAGCAGGCTGCGTGAATTTTTAAATTTGTTTTATGGCACAGTCTGTGTAAATTATGAAATCAAGGCTGAACGTTTTTTAAACTCTCGCACATGATTTGTGCGTACATTTATACATATTTGGATGCAGGACTCCACAGAGATTTACACGTCTGTTACACAATGTAATAATGTACCATAGGGGTTAATCGTTTGTTGTACTGCATTGTTCTTGACTTAATGTTGACGACTGTACCGGTACAACTGACTCCCTGTAGTGAATATGGGACCCCTCTGCAATTCCAATGTCATTCCCGTTTCAACCTCACAGCGCTATGCTTTGAAGGACTGATGGAAAGTTTGCATGAAGCACTTAAAAAGTGTCGATTTAGCTAATATTACCTGTTAAGTTTCATCTAAAATTAATTTTTTTTGGCAGCTTTAATTAATGTAAAGCTTCCATTACAGTTAGAAAACAAAACTATCAAGCAACATAAGCAGCTGTGCCTATTCCCTTGTTTTAGACTCATTGGACGTGATGGTGCGTCCGCCCTCAGGTCATTACTTCACGTAATGTCGGTACTTGTCACTTGATATTTCTAACTTTCTATACGACTAGAGAACCTCCCAATACAGATCCCAATAAGTCACCCTTACTTAACCATCACTGGTCTTAGTCTTGGTTTCTATGTTAGCAGTTATCAGCAGTTTATTTATTTTTTCTCTATCATGAGTCAGCATTTTTGCACTTCGGTTCTTCGTCTCGAAGTCAATGTTTTATTTTTTTACTTCATGTGTTTTTGGTTAGATGCCTGAGATAAGTTCCCTGCTAAACACAACTTAAAGACATTTTCATGTTTTGTTTTACGATATCAAATATGTCAGTAAATACCCCTCTTGTGAAATTTTAAGCTTTTACTCGGCTTCCCGGCCTATAATAAGCCTAGAGGTGTGACCACATCACATGCTATCAGTTAAACAGTTAAGAGAAATTTTGAAAATGAAAAAAAACGGAATAACTTAAAGGAGCTGCTTGTCACTTAAAGCAGAATAGCAGGTCCACCTTAAAGGCCAGCCCACCTTAAGTGAGCCTGGGCCGGAGTTGTCGCTAACTTCGGGGCTAAACCTCCTCACTTTAATCGGCAGGTGGCAACGACACAGGAACTTGACTTTGGTCTTGAGAGTATTGGCATTTATTCATCGACAAATATCGGGGCTGCCGACTCGTAACAATTTCCTGTTATGTTCGTGCACTGCAGCTGGCAATAAAGTGTTATCAGGTTATTGTTGCAGCCGGGCAGCTTATTAGCATTTCAAACACAGTATCCCTGCATGCAGGGCACTAATGTTGTCGGTTAACGGTACAAGTACACAAAAGAAACAACTTTGTTTGGGTAACGAGATTAAATGTAATCTGATACTTCCACGGCTAGCCTGATCACATCCTGTGTGGATACTGATAGAAGGCTGATGCTGATGCTGCTCTGCTAATGTGCTGCTCACGCTACTCCTCCCATGAAACACAATGTTAGCCTCACTCCATCCAGCCAGCTATCCATTTCCCCCATTTATCCAACCATGTGTATGTTTGTCAGGCCAGTTTGTGCCATGGCATAAACATGGACTGTGGTGCTGGCCAACACTTGGCCTATACACTGTGTGGAGTAGCCTCAGCTACACTCTGTGTGCTGAACAGTTCAGACTCTGCAGGTTGTATTATTCTGATTGGCTCCGATAAACTGCTATTCTTTAATTTACACACACAGATGATCAGATATCGCTGTGTCCAGCTGCTCTTTTTTTGTTTTGCATATTCACTCAGTTTCCAGTTTATCAGGTACACAAACCAATTGTATCAATATGGGTGGTGTTCAACAGCACTGCACGCAACAGCCTCCAAAATGTCCATATGGTAGAAACCAAATATGGCAAAACCATCCAATAGTTGTTGAGATATTTTAAGTGCTCGACCAACAGAACGACACTGATATCACTACAGCCACAACGTTAGCTTGGCTAAGAAATGTTGAATGGCTGCTGGTTAAATCTTACATTCATTTTGGTCTTGGAAGAGGAGTTGGTCTTCATCTTGACTGTACATAAAAATGTATTTAAGAGCACGGGCTTGCTGTAACCTGTATACTTCACAGTTTTCAGTAATAGCAAAGTATATGCAGAGTATTTTCTGTGTATAAACATATAACTACTGTCTAATACAATCCAAACGTTCTCCCTTAGATATTTGACTTTGTGAACACAGATTGATTACAGTTTTCTCAATCATCGGAGTGTGTACTTTAAGCTAGTGTACCGTATGTTAGCTGTTGGCTAACGGTATGTATATGACCGCTGAGGCCGACTCGCTCAAATCTTCCAGTGGACTTTTGTTCCGAGAGCTTCTTTCTTTGACCGTCTCCTTGTCCCTCTTGGATCTTGCACAGTCGGCTTCGGCACAAGTGGAAACATTTGGGTGAAGCTCAGATGCATCTTGATCTTGACTGACTTGACTTTGTGTGCATACATCTTTAGATCGAAGCTCCACGTCACTGTTTACGATCCAACATTTTTCAATAAGGCGATTATGGCAATTCCCTGATTTTATCTGCCGTCCATGCTGAAGTAGCACTACGAACTCTGGCCACTGACGGCTCCATATCAGTATGTGTTTAATCACTGACCTTTAGTAAATGTATGTGGAGGTTTCCTACGTTTAGTGTCCTTGTTTTAATGTTATTCAGTATAATGTTTACATGAGAAACCTGGTCGTTCATGTCCCTGTATACAAAATTCTAACAGACATTCTTATGCAATTGTCTTTTTGGAGTGCTCCAGGTAACATGTCCAGGTTTCTGATGATCACCGGGATACTCCAAAAACCTGATCCCAGAAACCTGATCCCAGCCAGGATACCTGTGCACATATAAACACTCACTAGAGATGGAAAGTCTTTCTCCATTCAACGCATTGTGTAGGTTACTTTTGATATCGCTAGTCTGAGATATAGGGGAGAATTTAAGCATCAATAACAATTTTGTGATACAAATCATTT